ACACTGTTTGCGAGACTTGTGGACGATAAATCTGACACTTCCTTGGGATACATGGTCGCCCTCCCGGTGATAGAACAAGTTGTCGGATTCGAGGTTACCATGTCTTCCCCCTCTTCGGACCTCAGATATAATATCCCAGGCAACTTGTGTATTACTTCTTCCAGTTTTAGGTTCTCTTTTTGAGATTTGAGAGCACACAGTCCACCTGATGGTAAGTAGATGCTGTTGCGCATAGACATCTACATGTATCCTCAATTAAGAATCAAAATGCAGATGCGTTGTCACCCCTGAGGACTGAGCTGGAATGCCTTGTTTCCAGTAAAAAGGGTCTCCGGTTCTCTACACTCACCATACGAAACACAGCAGCATCAAGCTGCTATTTTACGCTGATATTCTTAGACGGTGGTCCTACCCCGGTCGAACCATTCGTGCTACAACCATAACATAGCTGCAGCGTGGCTCTACCACGTACAAATCTTCTCGTCAGTCCTCAGGGTGCGTACGTTATGTTGCCAGGTCAGGTCATCTTAGATGGCAACCGAACTTCCACCGGAGATTTTTAGCACCCCCTATGCCGCCATGAACTGGGCTCCGTTTCTGTGTAACTTTCGCCATGGGGGGTATATTGCCATATTTGCCACGCTTGGCGAGCGGGTTGGCAACCGTAGTTTTTTTATTGTTAGTTTGTAGTTATGAGAAAGACGCTGTTGTCTATCTTCTACCTCAGTTTACATCTGTTTATTATTATTTTATTTTTTAATAATAAATATTTTGTGGACAGTAAATTTTCTTCGTTTAAAATAACACTAAAGAAAATTGACAAGTGAGAATAATGTACGAGCCTCGTATGTTATGTAATTTTTAACTTAATTATGTATTTGGACCTTATAAAAAAGAAATTTAGGTATATAGTCTAATCTATCTATTCTTAGTCCTCAGGAGTAATAACGCATCGGCGTTTTGATTCTTAACCGAGGAATAATATCCACTTACAATGGACCGTGTGTTCGTTCGTCACACCCTTATTCCATAAAAAAAAAAAACTAATTTTCTATAATCTATTTTAATTGAGAAATTTTAAGTCTTACCTTTATGTGCATAAAGGTTACCGTTACACGTTATGCTGTAGGTATGTCGCAATTTTCACGTTTTGAAATAATTATTGCAAGTTGTTTAGTGTTAATGAAAGTTTTATGCTGTCAAATAAATTTAATATTTAGCTTATTACATTTATTTTTCAATACAATATTTAACAAGAAGAAAAATTACATAGAAATATAGGATTGATCGTAGTCTTGCTACTTCGGATTTTAATGTAAGCTGTCGTCCCTGATGAGAGTTAGATAATTAAGAGTTGGACTCCGTCGATCTTGTTGAATCAGCAGTACACTTATCACAGGAATATAAAGTAACAAATAATTTTTAATTTCGCACCTATATTATGAAACTATAATAGTCATTTTTAATAGCAAGTTAATGTGTTACAAATTAAAAAGTTGGGAGTGTATAATTTTGTAAAGTTTAAAAAGAAACACTAAAATTATTTTTGAAAGTTATTTATTAAAATAATTGTGACTTTCATCTAAAATACAAATTACTCTGTAACGTAGCAAACAATATAAAAAATCAACGCCGTTCACGTTGACATAATAGTATATAAATACAAAATAAGCTATTGCCATTTTACAGATGGTTTCCATGATCCAAAGTATATAATCTAAAACCTCTAAGAGACCAATAATATAAATAACAAACAATACTATAACAAAACCTTGTTTAAAACCCATTTAAAATTAAAACAAATAACACTATATTGTAAAATAACATTTGTTTTATTAACACATGGTAACAGGCAACATTTATTTGGTACGATTTATTAGCACCGTGGTGTATTTTCAATATATTTTTTACATATTTTGGCTTTAGGAAATACTCTACGGGATTTAATCAATCGTAAGTTCGAATAAAAATTACATCATTTAATTAATTTAAGAAATGTTCAACACTCATTCATATTCTCATTTTTATTCTCACTTACTTTTTATGTGATTTTTTTAGAACAAAACTCTTTAATCCTACGTGTAGTATTGAATGACTAATATACACGATATTAAATTTAGATATTATTTTTAAAATTTGTCATGTCAATGTGGTATCAACATGCTACGAGTACACAACATGCACAAGACTAAAATAAGATTATAACATTTCATCAGAAGAAAATTTAAAGGTTTTTATATCGAACCCTGTGCTTAATCGTATTTATCAAAAACTAAATATATTTTATATCAGCAATTTTATCATTACAAAAAAAAAATTAGAAATTGGATTATTCTATAGCGTAACTTACGTCAAAGATATGCAACACTAACACAACAACAATAATAAATTATTACACGTTGTAAAACCAAGTCAGAAATAAAACAATATATTTGTAAAGTTCGCTCTCTACAATCCTAGTATACTTTGAATCGATCACTAATTAAAAAAAAAAACTAGATACACAATCAGTGACAAAAAATGTCCTTGCCGAAAGAGCGCCCACTCGAACAATTGGGTGCGCTTTTAATTTGTACGTAGCTTTGTGAATACAACTTTAGGCTATGCACTTAAGGTTGAATTTACATTAATGTGTATTCATTTCAACTAGTCGAAACAATTGGCGACAGTTTTTAGAGAACCTTTGCATTGGATTGTGTATGTATGTAGTTTTTTTTTTTATTATTGATCGATGATACATTGGCTACAATTTTCAAAATCATACTTCTTGATACAAATAAATTAAGAAAATATACATATTATTATGGAAATTGTGTTAAATTAATATATCATACAAAAGGAAAAAAAAAACTTTCTTTCATGAAACAACAACCCACTGACGGCTCCGTGGCGCAGTGGCTTAGCAATGAGTTGCAGCGCTGGGGGCCGCGACTTCGAATCCCGCACGGAAAAAGTATTTGTATGGCCTACAAATAATTGTTCCGGGTCTGGATGTTTGTCCTTGTGAATTTTATGTATGTAAACTGCCCCCCACGATACAGGAGAAAATCCTAGTGCGGAGGTAACGTTATTTAAAAAAAAAGAACTATAACAATAGATTTTTTTATAAAACCTGCCATAAATAACATTTGAATAGTATACATTGTTATCTTATATAAATTTCTCAGTAGGAAGACGTATCGTTTGGTAGTTGGTAATGTACTCTAAATAATAGTTTTTTTTTTAAATTAATAAACGGAAACCTAAACCTTTTTATAAAAGTGATTAATATTTCAAAATTTTACTTTGGTAAGTAAGAATGGATAGCAGCGATTAACATTGTTATTGCAGGCGTATACTTCTCTTTCTCTCTTACTAAACCTACTTGTTTATTAATATTCTTTTTGGTCGGTTTATTATTATGAATTTTGCAAGGAAGGTTAAATACGTGGTAGAGCCATGCTGCTGCTTATATTATGAATGCAGCGCGAATGGGTCGACTCGACCGGGGTAGAACAGGCTCTTACAGAATATCAGCTTAAAATGGCGGATTACCACTGCTGTGTTTCGTATGGTCAGTGTAGAGAACCGGAGACCCTTTTTACTGGAAACGAGGTATTCCATCTCAGACATCAGGGGTGACAACGCATCGCCATTTTGATTCTTAATCGAGGATAAACGTAGATGTCTATTGACCACAGCATCCACTTACCATCAGGTGGACTGTGTACTCGTTTTTCGACCCTTATTCTATAAAAAAAAGTTAGTTTAAAACGTCTTATCAAAACTACAAATATAAGTCAACAATTATTGTTAATGTCCAAAAGAAGTCATGATGTTTCTCAGTATATATTTAAAAAGTACCAGATAATTAGTGAGCCTCTTAAAATTGTCGGTATGTTTATAATTTAACATCGATATCGATAGTATCCTTCTAGAATTCAACAGAGAAAAAAGTCCTTGTTAAAGCAAGCCCAATATATACACCTACTCTACCATATCTCGTTTAAATATTACATATTAAACACTAAATATACATTAAGAAAATATATTTAAAACACTTTCCGTGATGAATTTGCAAAACAAATTTAGTTAATATTAAAATGCACATACATAAAGTACAGTATAATTTTTTAGTAGTGTAATATATTTTTATTTAATCGGTAACAAGATATTCCAATAGGGGTTTTCTGCTTTCCTACCTTTATACATGAATCTTGAATCTTTACCGATGATGAACGAATTGTTTAAAAACAATATTAACTATTTACTTTCGGTAAACAACTTCACAGGTGGCATGATCTAACAACAAATGATCTAATTACAGCACAGACAAATGATTTCTGCAGTTTTACAAAAGGCAAATGATCATTCATCTAATACTTAACCATTCGATAATGATAATCGATATCAATCTTTGATATGATTAATCTCGATTGTCATTTATCGACGCGGCACATCTCTACCAATGTTTACATTTTATAAGTTTGAACATTTTGTCCGTTTCCACAAAAAGTATATTTTCCAATTTCTCGTTTCTTAAATTTCCATAAAAATATTGTATCTATTTTAACATAGTACATCCTTATCCAGTGGTAATAAGGTTTGAAATTGTGTTAAGTTTTAGTGTCGAACTGACGTTGTGATACCATAAGAACTAAAAAACTGCAATAATATCAAATTGTACATCCAAAAAACAATTCTTAAAAACATTTTTAAAAATGGTATATATATGTATTTCTTTTTAAAATATAAAATTTGTAAAATTTAATTACATCGAAACGGTTTAAACAACACCTAAAATATCTTACCATTCTTCCCCGTACTGCTAGCCGATACGCTAACGTTAACCGATATAAATATATTTATCAAAACACAGGCACCTGTAAAGCAATAACATCGTCTTACACATATCAAATTCTTAATCACAGCGATCTTACCTTACACCTGTAAGATATCCCAATAAGTTTAGTCAAATTTATGAAACGCCATTTTCTTGCCCTTGCTCAATCCAATGTAAGCTAGCCTAAACTTTCGTTCTGTGTTAAATTGTACTCGAACGCTGTGAAACTCGTGTTCCTCTGATCGGACTCGGGTTGTTCGCACTCCGAGTCGGAGTGCGATCTCGGTTCGGTCCATTCGCTCTCCGGATCGGAGAATATGTTGCGGTCCAGTAGTTCAATGTCCACGTTGTCTTCGTATAGTTCATCTGTCAAAGAAATTATAAGGTCACTAATGAACAAGTTTCCATCATCATATCTTGTCACATTACTGTCACTTAAGAAGACTATATAGACTATATAGGGCAACCAAGAATAGATGAACATCTAATAATGAAACCAAACGGGTATGGTAAAAGAAACCAGAGAGGTCAGAGGCTTATTGATTTCGCCCTCGAACATAAACTACTTTCTTTCATAAAAAACCAAACCAAAGGTGGACCTGGCGATCACCGAACAATAAATACAAAAATGAAATAGATTATGTACTGTCAAATCAACCAAACATCTTCCAAAACATAGAAGTTTTAAATTTGAACTACCCGTCAGACCACAGAGCAATCAGAGCAACAATGTCTATCAACAAGCAGAAGAAAAAACGCACAGAGTATAAAAGCAACCGCTATTCATCACTGAAAACCGAACAAGAAATATTATTTTATAAACAGAACATCTCATCTCAGTTACAAGATTTACATAAATGCCAAGAAAAAACATCAGTACAGGCTTTCTATAATACATTAACCAAGGCCATAACCCAGAGCTTACAGAACGCTCGAACCCCCAACGAAATATCAAAAGGTAACCATAAAGTTCTAAAAGAGCACACACTGGAACTTATCAAGAGAAGACAAGAGTTACAACATGCTAAGATAAAAACTCGAGCCACTAAAAATGAATTATCAGCTCTATACAAATTGATAAGTAAATACATTAAACATGACTACAAAGGCTACAGATTGAAGACTATCGAAAAACATCTGGAAAAAGCAGGAAGCTCAAAGAAGGCTCTTAAAGAACTAAGAACAAATAAATATTGAATAGATAGTTTAAACCGTATGGACAAAACCGCAAATAATCGAAAAGAAATCATAGATATAGCAACCCATTTTTATAAAACATTATATAAAGCACAAGAAAACGAGTGTACCGGCCATAGAAACACAAACCATGTTAACTCTACAAACAAAAGCGGAAACATAACACCAATAACTGAAAAAGAAGTCACACAAGAAATAAAAAGGCTAAAGATAGATAAGAGCCCAGGGCCAGACGGCATTACAAATGAAGCTATAAAGGTTGCTTGGCCACTACTGACTCTCCCATTAACACATATATTAAAAATGCTTATATTAAAAACTGCTGAAATACCATCGCAGTGGGTAGAATCAGAAATAATTTTAATTTATAAAAAAGGTGACTCAATAGATATCACAAATTACAGGCCTATAAGCTTACTCTCGTGTATCTACAAACTGTTTTCCTCCATAATTAACAAAAGAATAAGTGTCACAATAGAAGCAAACCAACCTATAGAACAAGCAGGCTTTCGCAAAGGCTTTTCAACAATCGATCATATATATACTCTAGAACAAATAATGGAGAAATACCAAGAGAAGCAAAGAACGCTCTACATCGCATATATCAAATACAAAAAAGCTTTTGATACCGTGTCACATTCAAGCATATGGACCGCCCTGCAAGCTCAAAAAGTTGAACAAGAGTATATAGATATAATCAGAAACATTTACAAAGGTAACACAGCAAAAATAAAACTAGAATCCACTGGTCCTACGTTCTCCATCGGAAGCGGTGTGAAACAAGGCGACCCGCTGTCTCCAAAATTATTTATATCTATCCTAGAGTCAATAATAAAAAGATTCAACTGGGAAAAGATAGGATTAAACATTAATGGCAATTATTTATCCCATCTACGCTTCGCGGATGACTTAGTTCTGCTGTCAGAATCTAGCACACAATTACAAAACATGATCGATTCACTAAACACAGCTAGCAAACAGGTAGGACTAGAAATTAATCTTTCAAAAACAATGGTCATGACAAATAGCATACAGAGAAGAATATCAGTGGACAATGAAACTTTGAAATATACAGAGAATTACATATACCTTGGAAAACAAATTGGCTTCAACAGAAAACAAAATGAACTAGAAGTAGAACGAAGAGTACAAAATACTTGGAACAAATACTGGTCCTTAAAAGAGATATTCAAAAGTAACATGCCAACAAATATCAAAACAAAAGTCATGATGTCATGCCTCCTACCTTGTCTAACCTACGCATGTCAAACTTGGAAATTTACATCCAAATTAAAAAGCAAAATCACTACTTGCCAACGCGGCATAGAACGAAGTATGCTCAACATTAAAAAGATGCAAAAAATCCGTCACACCAAAATTAGAGAAATCACCAAAGCAACGGATGCCCTAACCTACGCTAAAAAACTAAAATGGAAGTGGGCTGGACACGTAGCGAGGCTAAAGGACGAGAGATGGACCACCAGGGTAACAACGTGGAAGGGTCCAATCGGCAAACGTCTCAAAGGCAGACCACACACGAGATGGGCAGACGATTTGATAAGAACAGCTGGTATCTGCTGGCCGCAAATAGCTCAAGATAGAGACACATGGAATTCTTTAGAGGAGGCCTTCACCTTCACTTGAGGAGGGGTTCATGCAAACAAACTTATATATTATTATCCAGATTTAAACATTTTTTTTTCTTTTTACTTTTTTCGTTAATCTATAAACTATGCATGTATCTCATTTTTAGCATGAAATAAAAGGCTTATTTATTTATTTTATTTAATAAGACTATATGTCCTCTGACAGAGTTGTGGGGCAAACACGTAGAGGGCTCACCTGATGGCGAGTGTCATCCGCCACCCGCGAACAACTGTAACACTAGGCGAATTGCAGGCGTGTTGCCGGGCTTATAAAAAGGAGTAAGCTCGTTTTCCTAAACCTTATCGGTGGTAAACAAAGAAGTCGTGCGATGAAGAAAACTCCTAGTAATGGAGATGTAAATGTATAAATGGTATCGGGAATTTTGTCGCGGTGTGCGTTGGTGGAATTCCTACGAGCACTTACTGTGATAAATGCGATAGAAAATACAAAGGGATACTATATCTCTTCGCAGCGCCAGAAAGAACTCGGTCGTCGACGATTCGAGCCGCTTTTCCAAACATAGAGTTGCAGCCAAGTGGAAGAAGCTAGCATTGGGGTGCCCCGGCCCAGAGATGAGAACAGTAGTTTAAAGTAAACGTCCACAATAAGGAAGAATTTCGCAATAATGCTTAGCAAGCGAGTTGATAATCGCAATGGGTAACTTCATTCAGCTCAACGAACTTGTCTGATGGTTACAACGATATCGACTGAAGGAGAGGATAGAATACATTTATCGAATCATAGAATAATATACCTCATTTACCTACTTTTAACTTCTACCCTCTGTATACCACACACAACTACGCTTATATATTGTATTTACTCTGTGATTTCTTGTAATTTTTCAAGAAAATAAATGTATTCAATCGTAGCATCGGGAGAGCCTACTACGAAAATATATAACCCGCCGAGTCAGTCACTTAGTGTTGCCTAACGTAAGGACTAATTTTGATGAAAACAACATTTGGAGGAGCAGAGTTAACAAACAACAACAACAAGCTACCAAAATATGTGAAAGAAGCGACTTCGATCAAATTTTCAAAAGTACGTTATTTGAACACCGGAAGGGACACTTCATACTTTCATAAAATGTTATTTGATGACGGAAATGTTCGTGTTAAAAACTAAGGGCACAAATGATAATTTAAAGTTCTTTTTTTTTTAAATTTCTATAAACTATTGTCGTAGCTGTCATTCTGTCACACGTTTGCTATCTTTGTGGAAAATTTACGTTGATTAAATTGAATGATCTAACAAAAGGAAAGATAAGATTACCATTCAATTGCTTTCTTTTCACATAACGATATATCACCGGGGTGACATTACTGTTTTGACCTTTTGTCTTTGTGTGGCGTGTCCAAGGACAACGGATTTCAGTACTGTAGTCCGTATAATTATATGCTACGACACATTCCGTTAGTTATTACCGTGTAGCGGCGGTGTAAGAATATCCACTACCCCATATCATCCCGTGGGTGTCGTAAGGGGCGACGGAGGGAAACAAATTAAAAGATGGGCAGCAGCGTCTTCTTAATAACGACTAAAAATAAAAAATAAACTGCGGTTGCTAACCTATGAGACAATATATAGGGGAAGCCTATGTTTAGCAGTGAACTTTAATAGGCTGTAACGGTAAAGGTAACTATGACACTCCATCTTGGTATTTAAATCAGACAAAGCATCTTTTGTCTTCTTTGTAGGTTTTTACCATCAGGTAAGTGGTGGTAAGTGGCTACTGCAGTCTGTAGATAGCAGCGAATACCTGCAACCTACTTCAAACCAAGAAGGTAACAGGTGCACTGTCACATCTGAGGACCAAGATGGAATGCGTTTATATTTATTTATATGCCTGTGATTATACTGACTCTCTATAATGTTCAGACCGTAACACGGCAGTACGGGCACTGCTGCTTGGTGACAGAAATAGGCAAGCACTGTTAGACGGCGTTGGAATTTTTTCTTGTGTGTAGTTCACGGCACGAACTTTTCAGTGGGAGGGGCGCTAGATTTACTAGTCGTGGCCATGCCATTTTTCACGTGGTAGAGCCATGCTATAGCGAATGGGTCGGCTCGACCGGGGTAGGACAACGCTCTCACAGAATACCAGCGTAAAATAGCAGCTCAATGCTGCTGTGTTTCGTATGGTGAGTGTAGAGAACCGGTAATCCTTTTTACTGGAAAAGGGCATTCCATCTTAGTCCTCACGGGTGACAACGTATCTACGTTTTGATTTGCAAACGACAATAGATGTAGATGTTTATGGGCCACAGCAACCACTTATCATCAGGTGGACTGTGTGCTCGTTTGTTACCCTATCCTATAAAAAAAATGTATGTACAGATTATGTTTATCTGTATGCACTCACCGTCGTTGGCTATGAGATCGGAGGACCAGTCGTTGTCGAACTCCAACTGTTTGTTGACATCCCTCTCGGTGGGCGACTGCACCGCCTCGGTATCGGCGTCAGTTACGTCGTAAATCTCAGTCACTTTCACCTGGAATTAAATTACTTTACTTTTTATCGTTATTAAATTTGAAAAACAAATGTCAATCATACTCTCAGAATACACATTATAGGGTCCACTGTATTTACAGTACACTCTATTTCTAAAAGGACTATGTGGGAAAATAGACTCAATCCTGTTGTTTTAATGCGAGCTGACTAAATGATTGATATTTTTAATTTCTAATTAATTTCAATTTCTCTTCCGCCCTGCCAATTTTCTCACGATGTTTTTCTTTAACGCCTCCTCATTCCAACGATCGAGAATATAGAATATCACAATTTCATTGGAGCCGGCGGGAATTGAACTCAAGTTCTAGAGCATTCAGACGCAATCATGCAATATTTAAAGAATCATAATTGATTATGATTTAATCAACGGTTGTCTAATGGTTATAGGTGCGGACTTCAAAACTCGGAAAACAAGAGTGGTGGTAGGAATGTGGTTTCAAATCCACCATTCGACTACTGTCGTGTACCACTTCTAACACAAGCATTTTAAGCTTACTTGGAGCGGTTACCTTAAATATTAGTAACGTTCATAGCACTATTAGTATTTAAAATAATATTGCATGCCGTAAGCGCAAAGCGCACAGGTATGTTCTGCTAGGGTCTAAAAATTAAGATTCCAACGTCGCATGAAATCGTATCTAGCAATCATATTATACATATAAATTATATAAAAAGCACATTGTTAGAAAGATAAATGATTGTTGAACTTATTAATTTTTTTTTAAATCAATTAATTGCTATTTTTACATAAAAAGGGGTTTTAGTGGCTTAAAGTCCGCATGCTTCGTAAACACGATAACTTTGAAAATATCAATTGTACAACTCAATCTATTTTTAAAACTCTTCATCTAGCAGAAACAGAAACTTTTTTATTCAATATAGATTATAAATAATACTTATTAGTCACTTTTTTGTGTAATTACCACTGGTTCGAAAAAATAGCCACTGTCCTGGGAAGAAGCAGCAAAACTTTTTTTTTAAATAACAGCTTACAATCATGTATGTTACACAAATTAACAACACAACAAATTAGAAATAGCTTGGTAGCGATCACCACATTTCCAAGGGTTATTATCATCCATAAATTCTTTAATATTATAATAACCATATTAAAAAAATAATATTATAATATCATGTGGGAAGCCATGGAATGTAAATGGCAGTTTGTTTTGTTTCATAATCATCATCATCATTACAGCCTTTCATAAATCCACTGCTGAACAGGCCTCCTCCAATGAATGCCACAAAGTCCTGAGCCACCTACATCCATTGACTTCCTGCATATCTTACCAAGTCGTCACTCCATCTCGTGGGGAGTCGCCCTACACTTCGCATACCGGTACAAGGCTGCCACTCGAGAACCTATCTTCCCCATCGGTTGTCGGTTCTTCGAGCTATATGACCGGCTCACTGCCACTTCAGCTTACTAATCCGTTGGGTTATGTCGGTTACTCTCGTTCTATTGCGGATACCCTCATTTCTAAGTTTATCACGCAGAGAAACCCCGAGCATAGCCCTCTCCATAGCACGCTCGCGACCTTGAGCTTCCTCATACGGCCAGCAGTGAAGGACCACGTCTCAGATCCGTAATTCATCACTGGCAACATGCACTGGTTGTACAATTTCGTTTTTAGGTTTTAAGGTATGTCTAACGAGAAGATGTGTCTTAGTTTCCCGAACGCTGCCCAGCCGAGTTGAATCCGTCGATTGACCTCTCAGTCGAAGTTACCTAGTCGGACTATTTCTCCCAGGTAAACATACTCGTCAACAACTTCGAGCTTAGTGCTCCCAACAACTACCGGCATAGGTGTGACATGGACGTTAAACATGATTTTTGTTTTGTTTGGTTATAATTAATTTTTTCAGCTAAAAATGGCGAACGGTGGTTTATGAGCCTTGTATATTTCCTTATTATGATCATTTGATTTTAAATTGCACAATTGAAGTGACTTGTAAAAAAAATTAGCTTTAAGTTTTTTCTCGTCAGTCATAACAAAATCGGCTTTTTGTCACAATTGGTTGAAACTATATATTATATCCCACCAAAAACATTCTGTAAAATACTAGCCAAGTCTCGATGGAGCTGCTTGTTTATCTCTAAAAAGTAATGAAATCTAGACAAAGTCGTGCCAAGTGTAAGGTTCCTTACTGCGATTTCTTTATTATTATAGTTAATGTTGTGTGACTTGGCCGTTAAAGTGTACACAAGGGTACAAAACCAGGCGCTACATGACACCATTGCACCAATCTGTCGCCAGAACCGCTACCCATTGACGATGGAAAAGTGCTTCTTGGAAAACGTTGATTGAATAACCAGTCAATTGTAAGCTTAATAAAGTTGCGTTTACACGTAATGTTGCACGTAATTGTGTTTACACGTAATGTTATATCTGTTGTACTTATGTTTGTTAAGCGAGATATATATAATAGTCCATAGTGGTATTGGTAATTGGACGGTAGTGTCTCATTTTAGGCGGTTGTTGATTGTGCAACACATGCATTCAGCATTGACAATGCTGACTTCTGCTCTCTTCTTTTTGGAGCGTCAAATCGACCACCGATCTAACATAAAATAGATGTACAGACGGACTTCTATCAATGATTAGAAGTCCACCTGTACTGGAAATAATTTTTTATATTGTTTGTTTCAGGCTCGCCTATACAAAAGTATTATTGAAATATGCAGCTTTATCAAGCCTGCAATTGACTGATTATTCAATGAACGTTTTCCAAGTGGCAATTTTCCATCGTCAATGGGTAGCGGTTCTGGCGACAAATTGGTGCAATGGTGTGTATGCAATGTAGCACCTGGTTTTGTACCGTTGTGTTCCCTACAACGGCCAAGTCACACAACATTAACTATAATAATAAAGAAATCGCAGTAAGGAACCTTACACTTGGCACGACTTTGTCTAGATTTCATTACTTTTTAGAGATAAACAAGCAGCTCCATCGAGACTTGGCTAGTATTTTACAGAATGTTTTTGGTGGGATTTCACTGCTTTTTGTAGAAACGTGGGCATATTTATTTATTTTATTAGGTTTTCTTATTTGACACATTTTTTTTTTCGTTTTAGGAGTAGTTTTTTTATTATTACAAATCTTTCTTTTCTTTTTTTCCGGTTCTGATTCTTGTACAGTAGCAACAGTTTTTCGTATTGCCCATTCGCGTTCATTATTTATTCTTTTAGACGGTTTAGACGGTTTAATTTCTGAAAGATCGGCGTGGTATTTACGCCTAAGCCGGTTGTATTCGGTGATCGCTGAAGCTTGAGCTTTTATACTCTTGAAGTCAACATTTATGAGGTGCACTCCATGAAGATTGGTTACTCGTGAAAGCGCCACGTAGGCTTGGCCACAAGAGAATATGGAGGTGCCAATGTCCATGAGGGCATTTTTCAGACTTAGACCTTGGCTCTTATGAATTGTTAGGGCATACGCCACACAGATTGGGAATTGTTCTCTGTACACGTATTTTTTTTATGTACCAATAGTAGAAGGGGGCATTACCATATCTCTAATACATCTGAGACCAGCTGAGGGTTCTTCATCAGATACTTCGGACCTTCGATTTTTGACATCAAATGAAGCGGCCCACCAAGTTGAATATTTTTTGTAAAGGCGGTATGTCGATCTCTTCTAATAGTTTGGTTGGGCTCTTGTGTTTTCTAATCAGGGTCACCAGGTACTCCAGATCTTCGATTATCCTAGTTTTTATAGTTTTCCCTTTATGTGGCCATTAAACCCTAACTCTGTACCAAATTTCAGCTCTCTGAGTTTATGGGAAGTACTAGTTCTATTCTGATGATCATGAGTGAGTGAGTGTCATAAATGCGAAACTTTGCTTTCGCTTAACTTCGGAACTAAATGACCTATAGACTTGAAATTTTGGATTTTAAGTATGTGATTATAGCTTACTGGATGACGAAAATTTCTGCGTTCTGGTCTTATCCGGAGGTTCTCAAATAGAGGCCTGAAAATGCGGCGAAACGGTTCCAGTAAAGGATGGTACGGCAGTGTTTGCTTCGCGCTCGACTTGGCGGGGGCACTGCCGTGCCCCCCGATACTTTTAAAATTATTTAAACACAATAAACAATTTGTTTCGAAAACAAGTGGTATGAACGTGACACTGTCGATGTTTGTGACTTGAAATAGTTTCTTAATATAATAGTGCATTATTCATTTTTATATTAAAGATAAGAAGTTTGAGCAAGATTCTATCTAAAGTGGATTGGGCATAATGTGTTTCTTAATTGGAAATAATGTAAATCTAGAAGTTACCAATTAGAAGAAGTCGTATTCACCCTTTCCTAAGGGGTTCCATGTTGTAAAATTAAGACCGAAGTCTTACAGAATAATTTATTATTTGAAACATATGTGCCACAGAGCAGGTGGTAGCAAAATAGTTACGAGTATATCATATCGCTCATCCAATAGAACAATGACGTAACTACCAAAAAGGTGAAATTTACATTTTGATGTCACAAGTTCCCGTTGCTGAAGTTCTCTTTATAGTAAACAGGAGTGTTCTTACAGTAGTTTTGGTTAGAGGGCGTGAATGTCGTTTGGGAATTGGTTCGGTTTTTGCATAGCTACAGAAAAATATCGGCGGATTTGACAGTCGTGCGGGGAGCCCCTTGAAGTGCGAACGTGTTGAGAGCTACAGTGACGCAAATGTAATTTCAACATTATTGACGTTCGGGACATCATCGGAATATTGTGGGATAAGACTTGCTCTTGGATAGTTACTCCCACTTGCGTGTGGCTCCAACGAGGAAGTGAACAGCTGCCCATGGAACCTCTCAATCTCACTCAAAATCACATCATCCAACATTGTGTAGATATTATGTACACAATGTTGGATCGAAGTCAAATATGGTATGAAATATTATTAGCATTTAGCAACTACTGTGTAAAAAAAGACCCATACTGATTGCGTACACCTCTGAGGAAAAAGCCGGAATGCCCCTCGCAGTATGTAATTATACTGACTCTATATACCCTCCAAACCGGAACACAGCAACGCGAGCACTGCTATTTAGCGGCAGAAATAGGTAAGAAGGTGATACCTATCCAGATAAGACTCTTAGGCAGAAATACCACCTAGACCAAACTAGGGTACTTAAATATAAACATAATATTATTTACTACTTTCGGACGAGCCTCGTTCTAATGAGAATTTTGTAATTGGCAGCTTTTGCGCGTCGAAATCCAATGCGCACACATTATAAAAGTATGAGGGGATCTGGCACTGGATTTAAAATACGGATACATAAAAAAAATAAAACGTGCTTAAAGGAAAATATCGTGAGGAAACCTGCATATTTGGGACTCAAAACATTTTTGACGACATGTGGAATCCTTTAACATCCATGGGTAGGTTATAATCACTACCGTTTAGTGTAGTAACGATGTAAAAATATCGACTATACAATATCGTCGGATATAGACAGCAGCGTTATCCTAATAACAATAAAAAATAAAAATAAAACATGTGTGCAGTTCACACTCGGTAGAAGTGAAACCTTCAGAAAAGGAGACCGAGATAATGGGTAACACTGTAAACCGTATTCTATCTCATTCCCTCGCAGGCTTAATCCTATAGATGTGTATATGTTTGTCTCTTTTAGTGTCGCTTTTTCGTTTCATCGAGTTTCAAATCGCAACGATTCCAAAGAATTATTCTTGATAGGCTGGCTGTAAAAGTAACGTTTTAGTGCTGCATGACGAATTATTGTTAATACATTACCCTCTTTCTTCTAGCTTAAAAATATTAAGCTAGAAGAAAGAGGGTAATGTACTCTTAAACTTAATTATGTAGACTTTGTAATGGTGCGACCCTATCGATTGTATCAATCTGGAGCATATCAAATTAAATGTGACTCAGATAGCAAAGTGCAGTTGAGCTGACAGCGAAGTTGTTTAAGTCGCAATTACGTCGCCTTTTATTAGGGCGACACTGAAAGTTCTTAGAAAATCAAAAACTGAACAAAGTAGCAAGTGTCCAATTACATCAATACATTGCTGCATCCGATGAAACCACCGAGAAAAGCACTTTGCCCACTCGTCGTTAGGGGTCTCTTCGACAGCATATTGAAACGCAGCCACTGCTTCCTCAGCGACCATAAAACGTTTTCCTCGAAATTTTTCTTTTATTTTCGGAAATAAATGAAAATAGGTGCGAGGTCGGGGCTATAAGGCGGGTGACCCGGTAATTCCACGTCTGACGTCGCCAAGTAGTCGATTGTTTGCTTGGCGGTGTGCGACGAGGCGTTGTCGTAGAGTGAAGAAGGATCCTACTGCGAGGTCGTTTCTCCCGAGCTTTTTCCAAGACAAGTGGCAAACAATTGTTAGTGTACCACTCTCACACAATTTTTGCGTAATGACCTGTACTTCCGAAGAACGAGGCCACCATCTTTTTTTCCATGCTTCGACCTCTCTTCACTTCAGTTGGCAACTCCTCGGAAGGAAACACCCAGACAGCAGACTGTATCTTAGTTTCAGGATCATAATTATAAATCCCACTTTCGTCACCCGTAAGTATGTCGAACACAGCATTTGAGTCACCTCCGTTAAATCTTTGAACCATTTCACGACACCAATCAACACGGCGGAGTTTTTGGCCTTCTGTCAAATTATGAGGTATCCACCGGGCACAAAGTTTCCTGACCACTAAATGTTCATGGAGGATTTTGTGCACTTGACTCATACCGATGCCTAAGCTTGTCCGAATCTGCTGAAAAGTCACTCTTTTGTCAGTCTCTATCATACACCGCACAACACTGATGTTATCTTCAGTCGTCGCCGTAGAAGCCCATCCCTCACGCAGATCATCGGTGAAATTAGTGCGACCACGTTTATACTCATTAAACCTGAGGCTTCATCGTGGAAGGCTAATCGAAGTCTATCATAACTTTTCCAGCCTTACCGAACTTCGGAATTTGAACATTCTACTATATAAGTACTACTACTATAAATTAACAATATTTTACGACGTTCATCATCATCGTCATTACAGCCCTTCATAAGTCCACTGATGAACAAAGGTTTCTATCATAAGGCACGGTCCAGAATCACCTGCATACATCGACTTCCGGCCTCTCTTACCAAGTCATTGCTCCATCTAGTGGGGAGCCACCCTACACTTCGCTTACCAAAATTAGGCTGTTATTTGAGAACCTTACATTTCATAACCTTATAATGACTATCCTCAAAATAAAACCACATTTTTATATCATAACATAAATATCCCTGTCCTTCATTGACATTAAAACATCTTTTAATATAAACAGATAACTCAACAAATAACAATCAACATTATTAAAACGATATGTAAAACAGTCTAGTAGGCAAATACACATATAGGTCGTCTGTCTCCTGTTGGTCAGGGACTTTATAGGTTCCTTGTTTATGAGGGACTTATAAAAAAAGGAATGTATCAATTATTGTGTTACTTGCCTAGCATGTCATGGCGCACGCCCAGCGCCTAATGCGATGTAGGGTTTGAGATTATGGAGGCAAAGGGACAACCACCCATAACTTATTTCACATCTATACCCATATTTATTGGCGAAACGTGTTTTCAGTAGGTCACTGCTCTTTGAACTCTGCCTACCTCCTCGGATATTACAGGCGTGACGTTGTATGTGACCTGCAGTCCGGCAGAACGTTGCTTTCAGAACATGTTTTTACCGAATGTGCCGACATTCGGCTGAAAACAGATTCGGTACATCACTATTAAAAAGCAAACCACACACGTGTTCAAAAGTCCAATCACGTTTGACCAAAATAATGAAAAGTATATTACAGTCAATAAACAAGTAGCGATAACCCCGGGCAAGCGTGCGAATGTCGATTTGAACATTGGGATGTCGCGTCATTCGCTATTGGACGCAGATAGCGATTGTTACGAGTATCGATCGAGAACATCGTAGCGAATCGATAAAGACTGCAAGTATGTTATTAATAGAAACGAGTTGAATGTAAATTCAAGAAAAACAACTTCCTTCTGCGTGAATCCCATATCTCTGGTGCCCTTTGACCTACAGGACCCAAATTCAAACTCGACCGAGCTACTACCTCAAGGTATCCACATACCAAATTCAAAGTCAATCGGTCCAGTGGAACGGAAGTTATCGTGTCGGCATACAGACTAACAGACTGCCAGCTAAAACCATTAACTTCCTTTCAATGCTACGCAGAAGGAAGTTAATAAGTGACAGCCCAGAAGAAATATTTTATTGAATTTTTAGGAGCGAAAAAAATTTATCTTTGAAATTAATATATTTCCAACTTTAATTGCAATACTAACTTTTTCATTTTTTAAATTTTATATTACAGTTTACATACATTTCTTATTGCGTATGGGTGTGTATCACAAACACACATGCACACGCATCCAATTCAGGAAAATCAATCAATTCAAAGAAAATAGTGCAAACACCTATGTAAAATTCTATGTAAGCAGTTTGCTATTTTTTTTTTATAGAACGAAGTGACAAACGTTCAAAGCGGGAAAGACACAAATAGCTACGGTCTCGATAAATACATTTAAGTATACAAGTACGGAATATAAAGCTTTGAAAGAAATAAAAAACATGTTTATTTATTTCTGTAAAACATGTACAACCGACTTCAATATAAATAAAATGAGAACATCATCAATGTAGTCATCATTATCATCATTACAGCCCTTCACAAGTCCACTGCTGAACATAGGCCTCCCCCAAAGAACGCCACAAAGCCGAGCCCGAGCCACCTGCATCCATTGACTTCCTGCACCTCTTACCAGGTCTTCACTCCATCTAGTGGGGGCCGCCCTACACGTAGCCTGCCAGTACAAGGCTGCCACTCGAGAACTTTTCCTCGCCATCGGTTGTCGATTCTTCGAGCTATATGGCCGGCCCATTGCCACTTTAGCATACTAATTATTTGGGCTATGTCAGTTACTCTGGTTCTACTGCGGATATCCTCGTTTTCAAGTCACGCCGAGAATAGCCCTATAGACTTTGAGCTTCCTCATACGGCCAGCAGAGAAGGACCACGTCTCAGATCCATAGGTCATTACTGGCAACACGCACTGGTTCGAAGTCAATTAAATACGCATTATTAAGGATAACTCAAAAATTACTGGTCAGATCTTGATCTAATTTATATAGGACCACATGAGAAGCACTAGTTTAAAAAAAACAAAGTCGAATTGAGAACCTCTTCCTTTTTTTTGAAGGAGGTTGAAAAATTCTATTCTATCCTGAGTGATATTCACCTTGTTATCGCTGTCAAGGTAGTAGTAGGCGAGCAGCGCGTCGTTGTTTGCCGTGACGTTCAAGACATGTTCAAATGTGTCCGCGTCCGCTACCACGTCGCCGTATGTCACTCGTACTTCACTGGCGCGTCTGTAAACATAACAACTAAATTAACTATAAATCTATGCAACGGGTTATCTGAAATAGTAAATAGTGCTTTATAATTATTCCTAGCGAAATACTATATTATTTCTACAACAGTTAGGTTTAGAGTAGTGAGTCCCAACCAGTGGTCCGCAAGAGTTTAAATATGGCACGCAAAAGATTTAAATATTATACCTAATCGTTTTAAATGACATTTATTATTTTCTCGTCGTGCGGACAGTGCAACACCGCCCGTCATGTTAGTAAGTACCTACTAGCTTTTACAATAAATACACAAATAATCTGTTAATGAATGCTTTAATTCACAAAATTAATCCGAGAAAGAATCAGATATATTATCGAAGAGCTACCTGTTTTAAAATGTAGTGGAGCCATGCTGCAGCTATATTTTGTTGTAGCACGAATGGGTCGGCTCGACCGGGGTTGAACAACACTGTCACAGAATACCAGCGTAAAATAGCAGCTTAATGCTGCTGGGTTTCGTATGGTGAGTGTAGCATTAGCATTCAATCTAAGTCCTCAGGGGTGACAATGAGGATAACAGTATAGTCTATGGGCCTCACTATCCATTCACCATCAGGTGGACTGTATGCTCGTTTGTCACTCTTAATTTATTTAAAAAAAAAACTGATGCTCAGACGTCTCGTATCTTTGACGCTGGTCCCTGGTAGCAAGTGTGGTTATTTTACACTTAAAGTAAACGGGATGGTATTTCACCACCCATTAAAAAACCATAAAACCATTCTGGTCTTTCCAATAGTAGACTATTAAGACTATTACCTGCGAGACGAAATGAGCTGATAGATTCTGTTATGCCGCAATCCAACGATCTAACAAAAAACTTAATTTATTGGAAATAATTTTGAATGTAATAACAACGTTATACTAACGTTTATTGTTTAGAGATTACTTAATTATTTTATTTTGATAGGTATTTTTATTTCTTCATATCATATTATATATATATGCCTAAAATTCATGTAGGTACTTCATTGTTTAAAATCTCTTTAATTTGTGGTTTTAAAGAGGTCGACTTCATAAAACTACAAATGCGATAAGATTATTAAAAGTAATTAGGAACTGTTTCATTTAAAATAATCAACTAAACGTTTACTTATAAATAGGAGTAAGTTGCTTACATTCTTCTTGATTACATTTCATAAGGTTTAAGGAAGGTTGAATTAAATTGTAGCTAATGAGTAACTTGTTATCAAGCAAAAGACCGATGTTTGTAAACGTTTGGTCTAGTAATAATTTATTGAATTAAAATAGAAAATATTATTATATGTATATTGCATTAATATCGCAATAATATACAAGAGTATATTAATAAAAAAATCTAGTAAAGCCAAGGTGAGCAAGTTACAGGCTGATGAAGACGAGGTGGAATAATAAACAATGACAGTTATTATGTCAGAAAAACTAAATGTTAGCCTTCCTTTCATCCTATCACTTAGAATAATTATGCTCTTTAAAAACCGTTATCGTTACAGTCTATTAAAGACCACTGCTGATATCTATATTTGCCATAGTTGGCACGCTTGGAAAGCGGTTTGGCAACCACAGTTTTGCACATATCGAACACGAAGCGGAGATGTAGTGCTCTATTGTCACCAAATCAAAAAATCGTGATCCACTCAACTTAAATCACTTCCACCAGCTTTATATTGCACTCATATAATGAAAAGTATTGCATTAGTAAGAGGAGATTTCAATTAATACCTACTTCTTACGTACTTATAAGATTATTTATTTTATAAAATTATTATTAAAAAAATATATAAAATAATTTCACTTGGACGTCAGTTTGTCGGTATGGGGATGTCAATAAGATATCTTTCGAAAAACTTTTATTAGCTTTAGATCCCAGAACCCTTAGGAAACCTTTTGAATTTCACAAACGAAATACATAAGTATTTCGGTAATTAATAAAAGTAAATTGATAATTCAAAATATTACATGAGTGTTCGTTCACTTTAGAATTTTCCAAATTTTTGTATTTTATTTTTAGTGGTTATTAGGAAGACACTGCTGCCCATCTCCCGATTTGCTCCCCTCTATCGCCTCTTACGACACCCACGGGATGGTATGGGGTACTGGATATTCTTACTTGGCCACTACGCGGTACTTCGATGCTACTGTGTTAAAGAAATTTAAAATTTTCTATTTCAGTTATACAATTATTTGGATTTAAATTAACACCATTATAATTTTTATTTGAGATCTGTATATAACTACTGTCTGTTTGTGTACCTTATTCAATAAAATAAAATAACTTTAGTCTTCGTTTGGCAGATTTGGCTCGCACTCGAGTACCTTTCATTTCCCGTTCAGTTGTCGTTGGCTTAAGTAACGTGACTCAATTTAAATCATCCAATGATATGATCATCAATGGGATGACGTCAAGCGTGATGATTAACGCAAATCCCCCCTACAATGATAGAGATCCATATTCAGCTATGGACTTTTTATACGCTAATGAAGTAAAAGAAGAAAATGACTTAAGTCTAAAGTTTGGTTTCAATCGATTCAAAACTAATCAACACTCGTTTCGAGCACTCGAATCGTTTATCGCTGTGACACAGTTAGCGCGCAATCGTACAGCTGCGATGAGTGCAGTTCCGCGATTTCGACGCTTTTGATAACGGATAAAATTAGTAGTAAAATATTTCAATTTAAAAGACGCAATTATCTTTTAATTTTGAACATTTTACTATTTTACAAGAAAGCACTTTAAATTAAAAAAAATATTATTGATTGTTTTAAAGATTACAGAAGAAGACACCACACACCACACATCACACATCACACACCACACACCGCACACCGCACACCGCACACCACACACCACACACCACACTCACACACCACACACCGCACACCGCACACCGCACACCGCACACCGCACACCGCACACCGCACACCGCACACCGCACACCGCACACCGCACACCGCACACCGCACACCGCACACCGCACACCGCACACCGCACACCGCACACCGCACACCGCACACCGCACACCGCACACCGCACACCGCACACCGCACACCGCACACCGCACACCGCACACCGCACACCGCACACCGCACACCGCACACCGCACACCGCACACCGCACACCGCACACCGCACACCGCACACCGCACACCGCACACCGCACACAACACACCACACACCACACACCACACACCACACACCACACACCACACACCACACACCACACACCACACACCACACACCACACACCACACACCACACACCACACACCACACACCACACACCACACATCACACATCACACATCACACACCACACACCACACACCACACACCACACACCACACACCACACACCACACACCACACACCTTACACCACACACCACACACCACACACCACACACCACACATCACACATCACACATCACACACCACACACCACACACCTCACACCACACACCACACACCACACACCACACACCTCACACCACACACCACACATCACACATCACACATCACACACCACACACCGCACACCGCACACCGCACACCGCACACCACACACAACACACCACACACCACACACCACACACCACACACCACACACCACACACCACACACCACACACCACACACCACACACCACACACCACACACCACACACCACACACCACACACCACACACCACACATCACACATCACACATCACACATCACACACCACACACCACACACCACACACCACACACCATACACCACACACCACACACCACACACCTTACACCACACACCACACACCACACACAAACACACCCGCGCGCACTCATAAATTCTCGCACTCACATCTATATATATAATTTTTTAACTTAAAAGCTTAGTGTTTATTGGTAACTAAGATGGAGGCCTGGTGACCTCAGTTTTTATTTACCTACTTCAGGCACCAGCAGTCCACAACCATTTTTGTTTAATAGCTCTTAAGTTTTAGTGTTAATATATTCTTGTGATTTTGTGCTGAGAAATACATAAATAAAATTATTATAATATTATTATTATTAATTAAAAAGGAATAGAAACAACAAATGTGGGTAATGTATCGAGGATATAGGTACATGTAGTGTTTACAATATGATAATAATTATTATTGACAGGACCCCTAACAAAGAGCAGAGCTGACGTCATCATCGTGGAGATAGCGTGCCAATTACTACGACTGACACATGACCCCACAGATGTGTAATGAATGCTTTGTTATTCATGTAAATTTGTTTTTTGAGGCATTTAATCAAAGAGGCAAAGGAATGACTGCACATAGTGTTTTGTACATGTTTTCACATTTGGAACGTGTTGTGCTGGAATAATTTAGCTTACAATCTGACCAAAATAATAATCCAGAGGCTCTTTTTTCAGTTTATTTGCAAGTAATCTACGTTAAATTTTCTTTAAAACCGAAGTAATTCATATTTGAAAGATAAATGCATTTTTCTTGTATCCCTTTTAAGTGTAACAAACGAGCAGACCGTCCACCTGCTGGTAAATGGATTCTGTGGCCCTGAGGACTAAGATAGAATGCCTCGTTTTCAGTAAAAACCGTCTCCGGTTCTCTACACTCACCATACGAAATACAGCAGCATTGATCTGTTATTATACGCTGTTAAAATGAGGAGCGCAATCTAGCCGACCTTTACGTGCTGCAACCGTAATAGGTATAGCTGGAGCGTGGCTCTACCACGTTAAGATTATACGAGGTGTCTCAGCGCCGATTTTAAACTTTGAATATTTATATTAAAAAAAAAAAAACAATTGTGCTTATAAATTATAGTACATTAGTGTGAATTTTATGTATGGAATATTACACTGTCAAGATGTCTTCCATCACGGCGAATGCACTCTTCAAAGCGAACTCAGTCAACTGATATGGCCCTCACTTCTGTCGTTAGTTTAATCTTCAGCTGCTCCAAAGAGCAATGGCAGACTTTCATACATAAAATTAG